GAGGGTGAAGCTAGTGAATGGGATGGAACAGTGGCCTCCTGGAAACATTCTGCCACTGTTTGCTGCAGAAGGCGTTAATCATAAACTCAATCGGTTGACTGTTTGCTGAAACTGACGTCGGGATTAGGACCTTTGCCGTAAACTGGTTGCGTGGGCAATCCGGTTCTGATCCGGCTGTCAGTCAGTGATCCGACAAAGGTGAGATATTTTTACTCGGGTACAAGCCTCGTTTATCAAACACAGAATGGCGTGCGCGCCGTGTGGGTGACTCGGTCTGACTCAAACTCGGACTCAGCCCACCGAGCTGATTCCGCTAGCATTTGAAATTGCGTCACTCGAAGTCGGCAGGAACTGGTAGGCTGAGCTTACGTTGTTTGGATTAGAGCTCTTCCAGCCAGTGATGGCCATTTCATGGCTGTGTAGAATGGAGAAGAGCGGATAACAGTGGTGCAGAAGTACACACACCTAGGGGTCCATCCGCCGAGCATGACCTCGCACTGGGACTGCTATGCGAGGGGGCGTTACGACAAAAATACGCGTGGAAAAGTATGTGTGCATAATAGGCGTATACAATTGTTGCCAAGCAAATGTACATGAGGTATGAAATTTACATGGCATAAGTACGTGCTCAAAAGTTCGCATGCAAAGGCTCGCAAGGAGATGCTCGTTTAGCATAAAGTTCGTATGAAAGAGTGAGTATGCATTAAGTGCGTACGCAGTTGGTCGTTAACAATTTGAAGTACCCAGATGTTCGAACCAGATAAAGTTGGTTTTGACACAGATTATGCACGCAAAGGTTCGTGAGCGACAGGGGCCTTTTGAGCAAGCGGCCGTGGGTGCACTCCATGTTCAGAGAGTGATGAACATTAAGCCAATGCATGGCGTATGGCGATGCATGCTGCAAATTGGCTTGGGGGGTGGGTGACGCTTCCATGGGTAGTGTCCCAGGATAAATCGACCACCAGTGTACCAAATTATACACCAAAACCTCTTAAATTTCGCCGAAATTTTGTTTCCGTATGAATGTTGATGTGAAAATAGTGAAATTTGGGTGATTCAAGGTATGAACTGGAAATAATCCTTTTTAGCTCTATGCGGCGTAATGCTGAAACATGATGCCCTTCAGCGATGTTAGATCGAATAAAGCAGGGTCCGAATAAAAGGGGCTGCATTAAAAGCGGGTCCAGGTGGCTCATCACGCTCTGCGATCCGATTTGCTTTACAGAAGCAATGGTACACCGAGTGTCATCGGTGCGTCTGCTCGCGAATTCCACAAGCGAGCTGACTCGCCGCGTTCGTCAGCTGGCATCAGTGGTGCCCTTAAGGGCGTGACGCGAAGTCGTCGGCAGAGCCGTCGCCAGGTTTAGGGATATTGGGGGAGCTCAGCAGACCCGGCGGGCGATCCGCAGTGGGCATGCTGCTGTAACCTCCAGTTCCCTCCATCTCAGGGTCACCTTGTACAACCCCATTGAATCTGGCTCATTCGCTGGGCGTCTCAGAACGTTACGTTCATGTCATGAACATGTTCATGTTCATGTCATGTCAAGTTAGGTTAGTCAAGATACCCGATCTGACCTATGCAATTGTTACCATCCGTCGCCATCGTCCACGTCCTCATCTTCCCAGTCGACGGGATGTAGTGGTCCTCAGAGTACCATTCGTCCGACATCTGGCGAAAGAATGGCAACTGCATTCCAACGTCCAGTACACAAATTCATCAAAAGTTTTTTGGTACGTTCTATCGTCAAACGACCTCATCCCTGAAGAAACTTTCGTACAAATTTCGTGCGCTTACATCAGATATCGAACCTTTGCTTGTGTTCCTTCGTGAAACACATGCTATCAGTGACTAGCATTCGCGCCCGAACATTTGGGTAAAGCCAGTTGCTCGCGACTTTTCCCACAGGAACTTTTTCCTGACGAACACTTACCATAACATGTATTAACACTTCATTTTGCCATTAGACACTTTTACTGGTACGGGCTCATTAATTGCCCTGTGCACTTTATTCAGAAAACATAAGGTGTGCGTACTTCATCACGCAAACAATTGTAATGCGTATTTTTCCTACACATTCTTTTGTACGCAACCAATACAGGGCGTGTGTGCTCAAACGGCCCCCAGGGGCCATTAAAGGGAATATTCCACGTCTTAAGATATTGAGGCAAGCAACAGATATAATGAAATAAGCTCGCTTGTAATTGTTGGTATGCTTTAAGTGAAAAAGACTGCTTTATACAACATAATTCACTATGTAGTAAATGAGTTCCTCGAGAGGGCATAATTTGATTACGTCATGGAACGTTTGTGTGACGCTGGAGTCGCTGCTAGATGATCGTGCAAGAATTGCCACTATAGCGGACAGGCTGACTCACGTGTAGTATTTCAGCCTCCCGGAAGATGGGAATGTTTATTGGTGGTGTCTGCCGAACCAAATATCGTCCTATGCGTGTGTTTTGGCCTTCTCGTGGTTTTCTTCCACTATTGTCCGTAATTTAATATTTTTTCATTTCATTCAATCATATTTGGAAACGAAACTATGCTTACCGGTCCTCAATTCCCAGTCCCATTTCCGTCATAAACTAGTACCAATACCAATGGTCCTGTGTGTTATAGCATCGAACGGCTGGTCGATTGGCAGAATAGGCAGATTGCCGTCCGTTCATGCCACAAATCGTGCTGACGTACGTCGAGCACCAATATTTCGATGACCATCTTTATATTTATCACGAGCAGACAAAGTTCGTGGAGAGGCGGCATTCGCGTAACTTTCCATGGGGTCATGCGTGCCGTTTTTTTATTAACATAATTTACAAGCACATCAACAATCACTTAGCAATATACACCAGTGATCACACATGCTGTAGGCTAGACAGCCATCTACAAGGTTCGGGCAACCGGCCCCTGCGTCACGGTGGATGCGGTGCGCACAGGGACAACAGGCCGCGCCCGACCCGCCGCGGCTGGAGTGCGTTCATAGGAATAAGCGTGAGTGTGCTTGTGAAAGGGGAAGCAGAACAAAAAAGTGTTGGTGACGCGTGGAACATGCCCTTGGTGTATTATGTGTGCGTGAGTGGTAGCTGCGTGAGTGCGTGCGTGGATGTTGTTGTGTGTGTGAGTGAGTGATGTGAGTGAGTGCGTGAGTTGTGATGTGGTGTGTGTGTGTGTGTGTGAGTGTGATGTGTGTGTGTGTGTGTGTGTGTGTGATGTGTGTGTGTGTGTGTGTGGTGTGTGGTGGTGTGTGTGCTGTGTGTGTGTGTGTGTGTGTGTGGTGTGGTGTGTGGTGTGTGTGTGTGTGTGTGGTGTGTGTGTGTGTGGTGTGTGTGTGTGGTGTGTGTGTGTGTGTGTGTGGTGTGTGTGTGTGTTTGTGTGTGGTGGTGTGTGTGTGTGTGTGTGTGGGTGGTGTGTGTGTTTGTGTGTGGGTGTGTGTGTGTGTGTGTGTGTGGTGTGGTGTGTGTGTGTGTTGTGGTGTGTCATCATGCAGAGGTGGTCAGTTCTCGCCAGGTTAATGCCTGTCACTGGTGATGGACTGTTTGTTATTCTGTCACCACGGTAATGTTCTTCAGTTGTCCCCATTTTCTTTCATATAAGTCTTGCTTATGAGCTACTTTTGCAGCGAGAATTCCATTTGGGCTTCACGTTTCAGTTGGTTTTTCGAGTGAGCCACCGTAGGCTGCGTTTCGAGTGAGCCACCGTAGGCTGCGTTTCGAGTGAGCCACCGTAGGCTGCGTTTCGAGTGAGCCACCGTAGGCTGCGTTTCGAGTGAGCCACCGTAGGCTGCGTTTGAGTGAGCCACCGTAGGCTGCGTTTCGAGTGAGCCACCGTAGGCTGCGTTTGAGTGAGCCACCGTAGGCTGCGTTTCGAGTGAGCCACCGTAGGCTGCGTTTTGAGTAAGCCACCGTAGCTGCGTTTCGAGTGAGCCACCGTAGGCTGCGTTTCTGCATACCAAACTCGCAAACAGCTAGCTTTGCTCATTATATTATAATATTGCTTCTAGGTCAGTAGGGAACAGCCAGGTTTCGGCGCGTATATTAAAAAGTAGTTTTGATAAGCTTTCCCTGAATTTTCCCAAACGCTTGGCACTGTGTTACTGATGGATAAATCCATCATGGCTTTGAATTCTGTCCAAAATGCCGCAGTCCTTTTCACTTACGTGCGGCTGTTGCGGTGCTGTTATTCGCTTTCTCTTGAACTCGAGCGCTTTAATCATTCCGCCGACGGAGCGCCGCGCTTCCGCTCACAGCTGGTGACGGGTGCACAGGTCGTTTCCCTACATCGCTTAAGGCGATTCCGGGGCTGGCATTCTCGTAAATCCCGTGCGTTGTCACAACAACCTCACGCTAAACGTCGCGAGCCGCGCACCACGGACTCAAGCCAGCCGCGCCGCATTGACTCTAGATCGCCCGGAGCAATGCGGAGCAGGGCGCCAAGCGTCCGACCCAGCCGAGGTCAGGATCGAGACTGCTGCATGCTCTGGTAACGACGAAACAGCTTGCACGAAATGAGTCTGCACGGGGTCGCGTGCGTCAAGGTCAGAACCAAGAGGGTTTTAAGTGTTTAAAGGGTATGACTGTGAATTGCATGTAATGCCGTTTAATAGTTCCCTCTGATTGAAGAAATTGTGTTGCCTGGAGCAGTCTTTTCGACACAAGGTATACCAAAAGTTAAAAGTGAGCCTATTTCATTCTGATGTTTGTTTAAATATTTGCATGTATAAGTGACGCATCACGCATCACTTAACATGCAAACGATTTCAATTAAACAGCATCGCGCATCAAACGCGAGGTATCACTCATACATGAAATAATGCAACAACAAATGGCATCACGGAAATAAATATAATGACCAATCATGGCTGGTGCATGAAGTCAGCCCCGGATGAGCGGGGTGTGGCGAGGATTCATGATAAAGCAAGAATACGGACACGAGGGCTGAAGCTGGCGGACGGATCTGTCGCACCATTTCAGACCTGTGAACTCGTGGATTGGATGCCAGGCTCGAGCATCTGTGTCGCGCCTGGTGCACTCCAGGCGCGAGTCTTTACTTTTCGGTGTCTGGGTCAGGTCGGAGAGCTTTAACAACACGTGGACTTCAAGGCTCACTTAAGACAAATACCGAGGTTGCTGAAATGAGCAGCATTCGCTCCTGGGCCTTATTTGGTTCCCGCTCGCTTCGCTGCGCGAGGTGACGCCACTGGCGCCGGTAGTTTCCTTGGGGGGGGGGGGGGGCATAACGCGTGCCGTTGTATACCCTTTTATGGAGCGCCAGCAACTACAGAGGCGCTTCCATTCGTGACGTAGCGTTGACCTGTTTCAACATTATGAAGTGGATCTCAATTAGCATGTGTAAGCCACTTACCACCCATGGACCACTCGGACAAATTACCCGTGCATCGCTGTTGCATGGACTCAGAACCTGAAATCGGTATAATTTAGATGTAGCCCGCGCTTGCTCCGCTCTGCGGAGAGCCGAGCAGTCGTAAGCTCAGGCTTACGCTCTTAGTCTAGTTGTGTTTTGACAGTTGACAGTTCCCGCGTTTTTGGGACGCCCTGTCTACCGCTGCTCGAGCTTTGAGGCCTGTTTTCGGCACTTGGCCTTCGCACAATTGGCTTCTCCTACGTGCACGAAAAGTGTCCCTTTCGCCTGATGCCAAAATAAGCTCCCTCTCTCTTGGGCGACAACGGAAGAATGGGCGCCAATTTACGTCGTAAATCGTCTCAAAAGTTGAATCCGCAGTATGTGCAAATTTCACGTCAATCTATGCGTCTGTGCTGTGCGTTTGGCAACAAGCGTAAACTCACAGACATAATAGATGCACTTTTTAACTTAGTACCTTAGAAGCCTTTCAAACATCTCTCCTGACTTCTTTGCCAAGATCAGGACGTCCGCCGCAGCACGTGTATGGCCGATATAGGTGCATACTTTACGCACTATCATTCGAACACTTACTGTTGAGCTGACGAGGTAAATTTCTCTTAATGCGTTTACGTATACGTTTACCAGAAAACGTTTACCAGAAACGTTTACTTGGAATAAGCTTATCGTATGCGGTACGACCATACGGTTGCTGTGGCAGCGACCCATGAACGACAATGAAACACAAATTTACTGGTTACAGACGGCATATTCGCATCGGCATGGGTGTCCCCGCTCGTGTTCGGCAGGCTACTCGCACTCCACCTCAAGCCATGGCTGAGGCGGCGCTGACTCATCTTAAATATTGCTCGGATAATCCCTAACAGACGTGACATTGAAATGAGTTTCGCATTGCAGCATTTCAGTCTATATACCAATCATACAAGTTTCACGCTGCTATGGCCACAAGAGTTCCAACAGCTGATCGTCAAGGCGCTGAAGGGAATAAGTTTTGAGGTAGAGTCTAAGTTGAGCGACTGTGGACGAAAGATCAAGTGCGAGCGTGTGACTATAATTATTGGATAGCTAAGAGCCATTTCGACTTCCCCAATTGAGCACGTCTGGAAATTCTTGAGACCTATCTGGGCACTTCAATCACCCTCATTTACAAAAATGCTCGAAATATTGCTCCATCGATATATTTTTGAAATGCTTGCAAAACCACTTCCGGTCACAACTTTAATGGACAGCTTTAATGAGACATCAATAATATAACTTTCTACTCACGTTGTGATTGACGTTTCTGGGCCTTTTTGGGTTCATGAATCGGAAGTTGTTAAAATCAATGGCGTGGTGTCGCCTGTTTTGTCAATGGCGGTCCCAAAAAACAACATGGCGGATCTTTTGTCGTTGCTCTTAATTGGGCCTTCCAATTTGACCATCCAGGGTATTTTTGAAGCATGCTTTGCGACTGGCGTCCAAAATCCGTAGGGCACCCATGTGTCCCTATGTCCTTAATAAATGTCATATAATCCAACGCATCCTTCTCATTTTTTCAGGTGTTTGATGGCATGATGAGCCATGTCGAAGATGCAGACAGATCCAAAGGGGAAGATGTTGATCCGGAAATATCTTCCGTCATGCAATCCAGTTCCATCCGCCCATCAAACTGCTCACTATCCACAGCATTGTCTGCATGGTTCAGTACTGCGTGGGCAAGGGCGATCGACGACGACGACAGCAACCAAGTAATCGGGGGGGGGGGGGGGGGGGGTTCCAAGCACGCATGTGCCAGGGTACTGCCGCGACACGGCCTTCTACGTCCTCCTTCCGGACAATCGTCAGATGCGTCAAATGGCTGTGGGAAGAGTTTCTTGAAGGCAGGAAGAGACCAAAAACGAGTGTGAAGAGGAAGAAGGAGGTAAAACCCAGATGGCTGCAGTTGTTCGGTATGAGCAGTTGCTGGGCAAAAGGGGCAGAATGGGCCTGTTTCATGTATACGCCCATGATGGGGAGAGGAGGAGGCAGGTTAACCATGAGCAGGGTGGCCAAATGGGGCTCGGGGAACAGAAGTACTGCGACCATCAGAAGGGAGCGAGAGTGGAGTGTGACCACGAAGTCGACCCTGCTTGATACTATAGCCCGAGTGAGGCAGTAGAGTGAGAGGGCAGGAGGGGATGAATATTTAAAAAAAAAAACGATGAGGGTTTCGGCTTTCATTCCTGGAAGTTGTCACGAATATGGTATTAAGGGGTGGGTAGGGTACAACTGACAAGTTATACGAGCTCCGACAGCTGTCTGTCTCCTGGCCTGAGCAGGAGCCGTACGCTGGCTGAGGGCCAAGGGGCAAGAGAAGGAAG